GGGAAGGCAAAAGAAAGGTCACCACTGTGCAAAAGTTAACCTTTCTTGTTTCGTTTCTATAGAAGGTAAGCACAGTTAATGGACAGATTGGAACGACAAAACTCGGATAATTCAGACTCGGAAAGTATTGGAAACCCACTAAAAGCATCAACACCTATAAGAATGGAAGGTGAATACGGCTATGACACGTCATATGGTGAAGGATCGACGTCGTCAGTGGGAACGGCTCAGAACGAACCTGGAACAACCCAAGGAGGTTACTACGGAGGACAGGGATATTACGTGTACCACGATCCAGGACAGCAGACGAATTATCAGGACACGGTTAACTGGGTGCACCACGGCTCACCTGCCGGAACCCAGTATTCGGGACAAGCAACGAGCGCCCCTTATCAACCGTATCCAGGATCGTATACCCCACCGGCGGGACCATCGCAGATGATAATGGGACCGGCAAGAATGTTGATGCCGCCACCACAACAGACTCCACCGAATCGATTTACGGGACATGGAGGATTCAGCGGAATGTTAGTGACCCCAGTACAGTCACAAAGGTCATCTCCGATATTACCGCCTTTTCCGGAGACGGGAGGCTTGTCACTGTCGGACATCGGAGCGCCTCGCATGAGAACACCGCAGCAACTTGGAGCGCAGCGCCCTCATCGTAATTCGCCACACAGAGGAGGAAGGCGACCGAGAGGCATTCTACCGTCATTGGGTCCAAACTTGGACGAGACTGGACCAGATGGTTTACGGCTTACGCCTCCAGGTGAACCTTCAATACACGCATACGCACCGAAGCTTCCTTTGGATTTGAGAGAAGACGACGCAAGCTTAAATATGATTCCGAATAAGGAGGACAAACTGACGGAAAACGATTTGGAAGCTATCCGAGAATTTAATCGAAAATGCCGCGAACTTTATAGAATTCACATGCGAGTTGAAGACGAGCACGCATGGTACGGAAAGTTGATCAGCCTGGAAGCCGTTATTAAACCATGTCATATCGCCCTGAAGGAAAAGACAAAACTGATTGAAAAAGAGCGCAGGGAATACGCGATAAAAGTTGCGTCGATGTGGCAATACCACCCGTCGCTAAATGGTAGGCCATGGCCTTCGATCGTCGAAAAGATCCTTAGGTATCTTAAAGTGTTCCCGGAAACAAGACAGATGCATCCTACCAGCGTCGCGGGACCATCTAAACCCAGAGCTGAAAAAGATGCCCCGGTTGATGAAATGACGGACGAGGACCTTTTGGCCACAAAGCAGAAGATTGATGCCGTATTAACGGAACGAGCAGAAAGGTCACGGGCCAGCTCGGTTGCAGGATCAGGACGTGGACGTACTAGTTCGGTCACAGAACCATCCAGTGGCACCACGAAGAGTGGAAAAGAGTGAGATCACCGACGACAAGCCCAAAAGAAACTGATAAGAAAGGGCAGCGAACAAAGAAGCCCACAGAAAGCAAAGCAACACCAGCTGAGCCGGCAAAGCCACAGGCCCCGATTCCAGTGGGTAGAAAGAGTGTACCACCCACGCCGAAAGGAACAGAAGGTCAGATTCGATTCCCGAAGTGTAGAAGTTTCACGGCCAAATACACTGGGGAAGATCATAAAGAACGAAAGGTCACTGCACGAATAGTCGATAAGAAAACGAACAAAGAGATCGACTCGTATAATCCCCTCGCGGATAGGTCAGTCAAGGATGCCATTGGGAAAGAGTCAAAAACGATAGTCAATGAGGCGCTACAGTTTATTCCTCCAGAAGAACGTCATAACCCAAGAGTTATCGTTCAGATGATGAAGCACGTGGTATCTAAAGTTGCAACCGAAGAAGATGCATGGATCCGTATCAAAGTGGGCACAGATGATGACCACTTGGCATATACATACACAACGGACGGCAAACTGTTGATCAAAGAGAGAACTCGCTCAAAACCGACGGCGGATCCAGATCCGAAGAAACGATCGTCAGATGATTATGAGTCGGTCCCGAGGTATACAGAGGCGACAAGCAGAAAGGTCACCCTCAGACTTTTCGCTGACAATGGAGAAGCTACGGAAACCATAACTGCGGTGATAGTTGACCCAATAACAGGAGACCCGGTCCCATATGCCCCATGGGATGTATCAGAAGAGAGCGCCCGAAATGCGAATCAGGCAGCTATTGACCAGCTATGGGATCTGATACCTGAAAGCGACCGAAAAGATGCCGTGGTTCAAGCGAGCACACTCATCAGCATGATGCGGCATCGAGCGGAGATCGATGGAGCACATTTCCGACTCACAAGACGAATGGAAGATGGAACGTACAAAACGGTATTTTACGACGCTAAGAAGAACCCTTTGTGGGAGGTCGCCTCACAGGGATCTCCGAAAGAGACAAGACACTTGGAAATTCATCCCCCGGCACAAGAAGGCGGAGCCGGAGAGACGGAAGAGGCGCAGGGCACGTCGGCAAATGTAACTGAAACAGGAGGGGCCAGACGCTCGCTACAAAGAGTACTTGAGATTGCCCAAGGAAGTCATGAGCACCTTCAGTGTGATGAACCAAACTGTGCCCATTGTAATCCACCTGGTGACGACGAACCAGAGTCGGAAGACGAGGACCCACCTGAGGAAGAAGGCTCAGACGAAGAAACGGCCGACAAGCATAAAAAGCCCTTAAAGGTCAAGCCCTCAAAAGTCAAACCGAGAAAAGCGCCCAGATTGGAAGAGGCCATGAACCGTGACAAGGTTAAGAAAGGCGATTTTCTCAAGAAACGACGGGAGGAAGAAGATAAGAAGAAACGACAGGAGGAAGAAGATAAGAAGAAGAAGAGCGGTGACGAAAGCGATAGCACAAGCACCGGGAAGAAGAAAAGAGATGAACCAGCGTCGCATGACGTCGAGATATTGGACGAGTCAGTCGGCGAAGTTGAGGAAAGGTCATCAACACCTACGACTTCAAAGAAAGTTATTAATTCGGCTACGTCAGAACCGTTAAAGCCCAAAGGAAAGGTCATAGCGGTGAAACAAGCTGTCCCCATTGTCATTTCCGCATCCACGCCAAAGGAGCGCAAGGACAAACAGATTCGCGAAAAAGCGAAACGGGAGACGTCGCGTGAATCGGAGGCATCGGAAGTGAGCCTTCCAAGCACTTCGACGGTTAGTGCGAGGTCACACACGGACTCGAAAACGACACGATCAAGAACCACTGAACCAAGAAGCTTAGCGGAAGCTCTGGATAAAGGGAAAAAAGCAAAGAGCGAACCCGTTAAAACCAAAGGAAAGGGCAAGACAGTCACGAAAATCGACGCATTAGCGACGGTTAATTACACTGAACCAGATGGGGAGAGTGAACTGGACTTCACCTCAGACGAAGAATTTGATGGTCCCGATGATGATAATTTGAACACGGTCGATGAAGTAATCAGAGCGTATAACGGAGCTGAAAAGAATTTCACACGAATAAGAACGGCATCGGTGACATCCAAATTTAAAGCAGGCCTGAAGACGTATTTGAAGAAACAACATCGTAGCTTCACTAAACAAAAGTTCGACGTCGTATTGGAATTCGCGCGGAACGCAGGAAAACTTATACAGAAGCACCCGAGTTTCTCGTATGAGGCCAAGTTGTTCAGACCAGCCAGTTCGGATAAAGCGCTGACAACTCCGAATGAAGCGGTCCCAATGCGAGTAGAAAGGGCAATCGCGGGAATGACAAGCCCATTAGGGTCAACGAGTCACCGGATTAGCCAATACATCAACGCAGTTTGGAACGACGGAAATGGAATGATAAAGGAGATCGACACGGCAACCGAGCGCGTATTGCCAAAGTTGATTAAACAGAACGTCCTTGCCACGACAAACGCACATAAAGGACACCCGATCCGATACACGAGAGTTGGTCTAATACCACCGGAAAGACAGATCCACTGTAATATGTCCGACAGTCAGGATATGGAAAAGGTCACAGTTTCATCGAAGACAAAAGGCCCAATGGATTCTGAATCGGAAAGCGACGACGACGCTACTATAACGGCTCCTTCTGGACTTACGACAGAAAAAGATGAACAGTCGAAAGGTCCGAAGACATCTGAAACTACCGCAGAAGTTCAACCGAAAGGTCATGAGGCTTCAGACAAACGGGAGAAAGAAAAGGTCATGCTCCCGATGGATAAGGCAGCGGCAGAAGCTGAAGCGGATTCGGCGCGACAGGTGTTTCACAAATCACTGTTCATACCATTAAAGGAGGTCTTTGAGAAGGAACGATCGAAATCGGTCGGCGATCTAAAAGGTCAAGAGACTTTGCCGCAAGAGGAGAAGAAGACAGCCGAACCAAAATCGGCGGGGTCATCATCAGGATCATTGGCAAAGCTGAGGATCGACGAAACAGTGACAGCCGACCCAACGGACTCGACATCCTCCCAGAAAAGTAGCGGCACACCGGCAAAGGAGGCTACAGATTACACGTTAGGGCCGGCATTGGACGTGAATAATCGCACATGGAACGAAGTCCAAGCTGCACTCCAGATTATTCGGGAAAAAGAAATGCTTGGGACAGACCTGAAAAGACAAGTGGCAATAAATACGAACGGAAGGTCGTCACTTAACATGACTGAACGAGCTCTCAAACGAGCATATAAGGAAGGAAAGTTGGGATGTAAATACAACAAAGACAACAAAGTCGTCTACTACCTTCCGAAACAGGGCACGGAACGAACGCCCAGACTGAAAATGGAACTGGAGGCCTGGAAGATAGCCATCACAGATGTGGCTCTGGACGCCATTGGTGGTACCAATGGCGTGTCATGGAATGACCTTTCGAACTTCATGGCCGTCAATTATGAATTGGGAGAATTGAATATTGAAAGCGATAAGGAGTGGATTAAGAATGCCGTTGAAGCCTTGATCTCGGACGAAGTGCTTCATATTAAGCCAGATGGCCGAATCGATTTTAAGCCGTATAAACCATCGACGAAAGAATCCGAGTGAACTAATATAGTGTGATATGCAGCGAGTAATGAACCCTGCATATTACAGAAAAAGCATAAAACAGTTTAAAACGAAAGCGAAAAGTGTTACGAAAGGTCAACTGAAAGCAGTACTAGGACTAATAGAAAAGGTCACAGTAGTCAGAAAGTGCTGATAACGTGAGAAAGGTCACCACGTTACAGTGATAGAAAAGGCAGCAGGAGCTAGGAAAGTCTCAGCTCAGTAACGGAATAGGCGTAAAAATGATAGAAAGCCTTAACATGGAAAGGATTAACGTCGAAAAGGTTACTATGATGGATTGTTTTATAATTGCAGATTGAAGAGAAAGATGGCACAAAAAGGTCAAGCCCCTTCTAAACGTTCGGGAATGGCGGCAGACATCGATCAGTTTACGGGCTATAATCCAAAGTGTCCGGACTGCTTAAGGAACAACAAAAAGGTTGACAAGAAATTCCCTTGCTACACTTGTATTCACAAGCTGGAAGACCCACATACCGTCACGCTTGTTGGGATCATGGAAGCCAAACGTGGGAACTTGGACGTTTTTCGAAATCTCATAAGCGCAAGAAATTACGGCAGCATCCCAGTAGAAGAGCGAATGCTATTCGAAGATCGTTACCGAGAAGCGATCCGAAACAACGAACCTGGCTGGGATGACACCTTGGAGCCGTTGAAGTGTCCACAGACAGACGCGTATCGGAAGAAATTTGAAGAAGACCAAGCGAAGATGCGAGCTCAGCAGATGGAAGACGAAATCCGCGCGAAAATTAATGCGGAAAATAAGAGAGCAAGTGAACAGGCTGCACGAGAGGGGCTGCCCAGCACATCGAGTTTAGTTGCACCTACGGGCATGGCCAGCCTTAACGAAGACGAAATGCAACTTGTACGACAATCACTTATCATACAAATTGAAACGATAACGAAAGATCCAGCTGCCATGTCAGACGAGGTATTCAAATGCTGTTGCGGGAGAAGAAACGACTTCAAGACGGGTTCGCGCCGGCACCCTACATAAAGAAGGAAGTCGAAAGACGTATGGATGACCTACGTAAATCTCGCCGAACCGAAAGCGATGTGCTGCAGGCATTAAGAAATGTTAAACGGGACGAAGGCTTTATACGACCACGTTCGCCCCCGCATAGAGAAAGGTCACGCGGACATTCACGAGAATATGAGCGAACTTCTGAACGACAGAGAGAAAGGTCACGCGAACACTCTCGTGAAAGGACACGTGACTACCGCAACGAAAGGTCACGCGAACGTTCTCATGATAGAGATTACCGTGGCGGAAGAGGATGGGTGCGCCATGGAGACGAAGTTACGGAAATGAGTATTCAAAAACGGCGTGCGGAGACGTTCCGTGCAGAGCCTGAAAAACAAGGGCATCAGGTGCCGATGGGAGTTGCATTCCGGAACCGCAATGTCAGGATGTCAACACCCGAAAGGTCATGGGATAAAAGACGTGAACATACGCGAAATCGAACGCCTGACCCACAGGATAAGAGATGGCAACAGAGAGCCGCATTTTATGCGACCTTTGACTCGGGCGCAAGTAAAAGGTCATCAAGCACTGAACGAGAAGATTCACCCCCAAAGTATCAGCGGGTGGAGTCAGTGGTTCACGTTGTGGAAATGGAAGGGACCAGCTCGATTGCGGAAACGTCTCAAGAGAACGTGACCCATCGACGAAATGTAATTCTGGATAGTGACCTCCAACCGGAACAACCGGCGAGTAACGAACCGTCGCAGCCTGAGTCGGGAGAGCGACGGGAACCAGAAGGTCAACGAGAACCGGATAATCATCGCCGGGCTGATCAGCGACAGAACTCCAGATTTGACAACCGACGTCCTGAAAGTATCGACATGGAATACAAGACGACTGATATTGATGAGCAAACGGTCGAAATTTGTCGATACTTTGGACTTGAGCCGGATTCGGTTGAAGCCAACAAAATTGGCACAATTCTGAGACAGTTGAGCCAATTCTTACTTGATTCGGGATACGCGAGAGAGATTAAACAAGGAGTCGAACAAGGACTTTTCCGTCGTTTATTCATCCACCGCGATTCAGTACGGGACTGTTATCTCCCTATCAGACGGAATGGGCTACACAGTTTGGTGGATTTAAGTTTATTGGATGTACCGCTGGACACAACTGACCCAATCGGGATGACACAGTTCTACTACAGAGACTATCCCGAACGCCAAGAATACGTGGCTCAGTTTGTTCTACGACATGTGAATCCAGCTTTCAAGTTGCTTGCAGCAAGGGCATCGATAGGACTACAGGTGGATCCTAAGGACTATGCCGCAAAAAGGATGGGGCAAAAGGTCTTTGCTGCGAGACTGGCACATTACAAGACACAAAATCAATTGGTGTCTAATACCATGAAAGATGACATTCCACCGTTCTTCCGAGCTCATGTCGCTAAATTGGGACAACCGATGGAACATATCAGCATAGCGCATACGGCTCGCAAGGCGCTGAAAAAGTGCAAGACACGAATGGAAAAGGGCAACTTGACACAGCGCCACGCATCCCAAGTTGAAGAAAGGATTAATAAGATCAAAGATTCTCTGGGAAGTGAATACGTCGAACCGGTGGACGGAATCGAAACTTACATTGATGAATTCTTGGTGAAGAAAAGTGACCGTCGCCCAGACCGTGCGCCTAACCAGATGGGACGACGCGGCATACGAAACCAACAGCTGCGGGATAATCTCGCCGACGTGCAGCGTCGATTGGCAGATGACCCTGATAATCGAAGGCTGCGACTGGAAGAAAATGATGCGCGCCATCGACTAGAGGCGGTTAAGCGCAGTCGCCAAGGGAAGGGTCGTGGCCAGCGCGAAGTTGATCCGACAAAGGTCATGGAAGTTGACTCGACGGAACCAGTTGACCGAACTTCCGATCGAAACCAACCGGAAAGCGCTAAGAAACGCCCGCCGAGAGATGGCGAGGGCGATTCAAATGAAATGGAATAGTGTTGACCTTTAGGATCACACTATTGAAAGGACGTCTACGGCATTTGTCGGTACGTCACAAAGATGAAAATGGTGTTGTATAAAGGCCGTGACATATGACATATTAACATTAATTGCATTCGTGTATTTGTTGTTTGCAGCGTTTATAGCACAGAATTGCCTAAAAGAAATCATGTGGAATATCTATTGGGGTTGAAATTGATTCGGTCTATAAAGCCGGCCCCAAGGGAGTTGCTACGGCAGTTAGCCGGCCCTCCTCTCTAAGCGACTCAGTGTTATAAATGCACAAGAGAAACTACGGTAATCAAGCCGGATCTCTTGAATACGAAACGGGGCCACAAGCGGCGAAAAAGAGAAAGACAACAGGTGGAATATTGATGAGGTTAACTTAATGCGGCAATTAGCCGGCCTCATTAGAGTTGTTACGGTAAACTATGCCGGCACTCTTTTCAAGCGATTCAGTGTTATAATTAAAACGAGAAAAACTACGGTAATCAAGCCGGATTTCTCGTACTAACGTAAGCCACAAGCGGCGAACAAGAGTAAAAGATTTAAGATGGAAATTTCATGGGGTAAACTTAATGCGGTAACTAGCCGGCCCCATCAGAGATGCTACGGTAAACTTGCCGGCACTCTGGCCGCTCGAGGCATATTGAAGTTGGATGTGCGACGGAAAGGTCAAACTGCAAATTTTACCAGGAAGGCAAGCAAAGAAGTGCTTGAAGCCGCAGAAAATCGGCTAAGTCCCTCCATGACCTTTAACAGAAGTTTTGACGAGTGGGATGACCTTTGGGATCATCAATTGCCCAATAGAGTCACCGTATCGGAATTCAAGTCGCATGACCTTTGGGACCATTAACCCAAAACGAGTCGCACATCTCAACGGATCATCTCAACAAAGGATGACCTTTACCAGGGAGGAAGCGAACTACGCTTGTCTTCATTGACGTCCCTCCATGACCTTTATTGGATCTCATTTTGAAGTCGTACGAATGATACGCACCATATTCCAAAGATTGAAGCAGTACTCCTAAGTCGTACTTGATACGCACCTGATTCTCAAGCGGATTGTGATGAAAAGTCGCACTACGGATGCGCGGACTTGCTCAACAGAGCGGAATGGGCCAAAGTGCAGAAAACGGTGGACAGGACCTGTGACCTTTGCGAGTCAGAAATGGAGGATCCTAGTCTACAATTTGATTAATACTTTTGTTGATCTGTTATTGTTGATCTGTTCCTAATGATTTGATAGTATTTTTATAATTGGATCTCTTTATTTCACATTGTATTAAACAGAATTGTGCCTTTACGGAATTGATGTGATAACATGGACTAAGAGAATTTGATGTTCTTGAGCACGCACAGACACCGGCGACCGTCGTTTTCGTGGATTTGGGAGTGTGTCCAGCCTCACAGGAGCTCGGCATCCCCCCAGAGGCATGTGAGCGGGGTTCACTAGCGTTCACGTCCGCAACGCTACGCCACTGGATTACGTGTCTGTGTTGTGTCTCTTCTGATTGGCTTGAGTTGTGTTAGTGGGCGCGGCATAGCACGTGCTGCACAGTGTTACACACTGTTGAATGGGCTCCACGCTTTACGATCGAGCTGCGCCGATCATTATTGATTTTCTGTTGTCGGAATTTTCAATTAATTAAAAGTCAGCTATTAGCGGTGCGACGTTTCGTGATTACGCGTAGTTCGCTATACTAATCGCATAGCTCACTCCACGGGATCTATTCCGTTTAGGTCTCCGTATCTGGATCACAGTTGGATCTAGCATTAGAGACTGTTTTGAAAGAGGTGCGTGCTTCTCTAGCAGGGACTGCGTAATACAATTAATGACCACAATTTCACAAATAGCTTCTTCACAGGCAAAATACTGGCATGTTGACAGCATTGTGGAGAAGTGCCTGGTTCTGGTGGACCTGAATAGTGCTGCGATTCTGCAGTCGACAGAATTCACCGACATCTCACAGGATACACTGCAGAAAATTCTGAAGCGTGATACGCTATCGGCCGAGGAAAACGAGATCTATTTGGCTGCGGAAAGGTATCGGGCGGTTTAGACACATAAATTGCGTCCGTAAACTGCCGTGAATCTCGTGACCGGTATTATATAAAGTATTCCAGCCATGACAAGAAACAGACGCCTACAAAATACGGTAAATCTGTTATTCGGCAGCATGAAGGTTGTTGTTGCAGGTGGGCAGAGGCGGCCTGCGCTCGCAACGCCTTGGATGCATCTGGCGCTAATCGGCGCCAGATGTTGGGTGACGCTTTGTGCCTTGTGCGCTTTCCGCTCTTGACTGGCACGCAACTGGCTGATGGTCCCGGCAAGGTACGGACGAACCTGAATCTGCGATTTCTTGGCCTGTTTGACAGTTTTTCGTGCATCCTGAATCCTGGTTATAGAGCGGTCTGCTGAGCGAAGGGGAGCTGCTTAGCGTGCTTTTGTACCAGAACGCTACAGTGAAGCCACAAAATCTGGCTTTTCCCACAGCGTGCCGGACGGGAGTGTGCATAGGGTTCACCAAGGGAGATGAAGTATTTGTGGAATCTTCAGGCTATGCAGGATCTTGGTGGGAGCCAGCGACCATATGCGCGGTCGAGCGGGAACGTGTTTCGTTTACGTGGTGTCGAACCGGAATGAAAGGAGCTGCCACGCCAGACAAGATGATCCCCATAAAAGACATCCTGAAAAAAGACCAAGCGGTTTATGCGTTTTCGAACGGGTACGTACAGTACCAGCACGCATCGCTGGATGGGCAGCATCACATTTCTGGACAGAATGGATGGCGAATTGTCAAACTAGCGGATTTAATGCTGCCCGGAGCTGATGTGGCGTTATGGAAGGCGCGCAATGGAAAATAAACTGAGAAGTTGCGAGTAAGCTTCCTTGGTATTGTCCTATCTTCAAGGCACGTTTTTTTATTTCTCTCGTTTATTTATTTCGCTTGGGACAGCTTCTAGTTCTTTTATTTGGCGCGAGCATGTCTGTTTTTTCAGCCTTGCTTGGAATGTTATTGTTTTCCGTATTGAAATAATGGCTTTGTGGTTCAACTGTCCATTAGTTTCGTACTTGATAATGGAATAAAGTTCAGTGCAATCACGGTGTAATGTTATCACTAAAAGTAACCATGGTAGTCGCGTAAGTTCGCAGCAGTAGTTCATATTGTATGCGCCATTCAAATTGTGCTATTATTATTACTTTATGCATATGGGTAGCTTTTGGTCAGTTTTGAGCAAAATGGGATATTATTCGGCAAGGCTCGCGAGTTGCCTCGCGGCGTTATCGTTATATTTATCGACCAGTGTGCAACGGAGGTGTTCCAACTTATTCTAGCCTAAACGCAAACCACGGACTATAGGATCGTCAAAAAGAATGATAAGAGCAAAAGAATCACGATACGGCGATCTGGTAGACGATGATTATCCTCGGGCGCCGGCAATGGACAGTTTCATGTTCTTCCAGGCGATGTGCCGCTGCACCACAGCACAGCACCGAAACTGCGGCGAAAACGGTTCCTACCGTGACCAGCGACTCGATTCCTTGTTCTGAGCACTGGCGCAAGATGACTGCTCAAACAGCCACAGCGTACACTGATTTTTATCTTCCAGCTGTACTCGCTGTCACAGTGTCACTGGCAGGTCTGTTCGTTATAAGCACATCCTAGATGTCCAATTACTACGTAATTCCAGTAATGAATTATCAAGGAACAGCTGCCTAATTGGAGTGTTAACGAATGGCGTTAGGTTTTAAGTGTTGTTAGTTCACCTAATGTTAAGAGTTTCAGCACTCAAAAGCAATCGACTAGTTCTTGATATAAGTTCGTCTGTGCTTATGAGAACTGGCTTGTGTTGTAAATAGTTTATGTACCAATAGACAGTTCTGTTGTGGTTCCCGTAGGGTCCGTTGTTAAGTCGACAATGTGAGCAGTCTTGAAAGTTGTAAAGTTGTGTAATAGATAGATTGACCGGAAGCGGTCAGTCTATCTGTTACGATTACAAGATTTTTCCTTTTAGTCTTAGGCGACCATAAAGGCATAAACCATCAACAACTTTACGCTTGCTGACATCGCCGATGTACGATATCTGCAAAGCGTCTGATGCAAATCACGTTTTCAAAAACAAATGGGCTTACAGTTAAAACAACACAGATAAATTGCCACCGTCGCTCCGAATGCCATTTTTATGTCCGGATTTTCTATACCTCAGCATGGCCTGAAAGAGAAACAGTTGAAAAGTAAACAGAGCAGTCCAGCTTATGCTACCGTCGCTCGCTCGATAATTCCGCCGCCTATGGGTGCTGCCTAAACATAGGAAGTCGCCTCCATTGTGATGACACACGTTACCAGTCTGGCAGCCGCTGTCTACTGCGGATTATGCACAAAAAACAAATGGCGTTTAAACGATACGACTGTGCGTATAGTTGACAGCCGGATCGTGACCTAACAATGTCAGTATTCCGGACACAGGTCACATAGAAGCAGGTTCTGGGTCAAATAGGTGTATTGTAGGTTTTAGGTCAGACTGCCCAGCGTCCGCTTGAGTTCTGTCCGTTGTGTATGGTGAGTAGCACCACTGCCCATGGGATGAATGAACTATTTCCCCACGATTTGATCGGTTTGTAGTTTGGTTACGTTAGGAGCAGGAAACACATTGGCAATAATTGCGAGTATGCATTGAACGTTTCAGTAAGGATCTCATTTTTCTTAATCCTTGTGTGAATTCCAACACAGTAAATGACTTTTTTCTCATATCTGTATGTAAGACGTACGTCCATCTAATTTTTGATTTTCGAATCTTTTTCTTCACTTTTCATTAATAAGCCGGTCGTTGAAATACCCAGCCATGTCTACGAAACCAGCTACACCAGAGAGCCAACAGTGTGTCCCTGATCGAACATGTGGCTTCATGAAACTGTGGAAGCAAACTTTCGCCAGTGGAGAACTGAGCGATGTGCGCTTCGCAGTGGGACATGACTTTGGGAATACGGAAAGTTTCCCCGCCCACAAGTAAGACACCCCACTAGCAGATAAGCTCAGACGTAGTCGGTCGTTCGCAGTTGCTAATTATGGGTCGTCATGATTACTGATGTTGTACAATTTTTAGACTAGTCTTGAGCCTGCGCAGCACCGTGTTCCGCGCGATGTTCTACGGAAGGCTGCCAAAAAAATGTAGAGATGCCATCATCGAAATTCCCGATATTCATCCAGACGCCTTTGCCAATATGCTCAGGTGCGTTGGTCTCCATCGTTTTTTTTACCTACTCGTATTATACCGGGCGCTACCTTTTGACCTACTTCTTGGCGTTCTATACGTAACTTTTGTTCCTGAATCCGAAAAACTTTAACATTATATCATCTGTTTTACTGTGACCTATTTTCACCATCTTGCAGGTTCATATACACGGACGCGGTTGATCAACTCACCACTGACAACGCTTTTGCGACCATGGGGTGTGCCATCAAATACGATCTGTCGCAGATGGCAGTTATTTGCTCTACCTTCATCACGAGCCATTTAAACGCTGACAACTGTGTGGCCACTTTAAAACAGGCACGACTGTCGTTTTATAAAGCATCCCTGTGGGCACTGTGCAGAATAGCGAAAATGGGTTCTGTTGGTAGGCTTGTGGTTGGCATGCTGCCAGCATCGTGGAGCAATGTATGGCTATCGTGGATGCGAAAACTACTTTCATCCTGCAGTCGAATGAATTCCCGGAGATCTCTCTGGATGCGCTGACAAAGATTTTGCAGCGCGATACGCTGTCGGCGGAGGAGCACGTTATTTATTTGGCTGTTGAAAGGTAACCTAAGCGTTGACAGAATGTGAGACCTTCTAGGCGCCTAGGCGGCTGAATCTTCGCCTTTTTGTATAATTAGTTCTTGTTGTCAAGCGTTTATTATTGTAATATTGCGTCTACGAAATGGTATCGGTTACATAAAACAGCCTGGCTGAATTCTAAATTTCGGAAAGCGTCAGAGATTTCGGAAACTAAACCTCGGAAATACAGGTTCGTAACATGCAAAATATTAAAGCGATGCTCTTAAAGCATCTCAACTGGAATTGCTTATACAGCGCTTCCAAAGAGCAAACGACTGTTCAGGTTGGAAAAGGATGCGAGGTCACGACGCAGCTATGATTACGATCAGCAGAATCGAGAAACACCAGTTAACTCTGCGGCTAGATCGCAGGCCGCACGGGCAGGGGATAAAAGGTGGCAGTGGCACCTGCCACTGGCAAATGCCACCGGCAGTGGCATTTGCCACTATGCGTTCTGGCAAGCGATAGAACATGGCAACTGCCAATAATTCAGAATCAGCTAGAGACGATTCTGCCATCCAAGGATAAGGTCTATAGGGAGAATCTTTGCATTTTCCTAGATCGACGCTATAGAACTTATCCATGAACACTTCACCCGGAGTCGTGTGTCCCTTGTACGCCAATGCGGCCACCGTCACAAGTGCCCCATTCACCAGTTAACAAAGGCGCTTCGGTTTGCAACGCGTCCACTGCGGCAGTGGCTCTGATTGTGCCTTCGAATGATTTTCAGAATTTATTCACTACGAAGTATTTATAGAGATTTGCACACTCGACTACAGCGTTCGTGTTGAACGGATATTAGGTATTTTTATATAATTGTATGTACCAGCAGCTTTAAGCGCTCGTATCAGTTTAAGTACAGCAGCGAACCAAAATTTTGAACGATACACAACGACTTTGTTAACTTTTCGTTTGGTTTTTTATGACACATCACCGTCGTAAAACATGCTTGTTTTAAACCGCGTTTATCTACAGGCGATAGAACAGTCAGTTTATTCAATAGACGTTCAGGATGTGTCATGTGTTATCCAAGGTTTGCCGGAACTGGCTGATCTTATGTGAAAGGACGCTTTTAGAATACCGTCGCAGTGTCGCACCGACCGTGTTTCGGTCTTGAGCGGAACTGATTCTGGGTGTTATGACTGTATTCTGTGATAGCTGCGCTTGCTGCATTGGAAGGCGCGGGCACACGACTCCGGTTGAGGGGTCCATGGATAAATTCTATAGAGTCGATCTGGGAGAATACAAGATTCTCCCTATACATGGAACTTATCGTTGTTTGACAGAATCGTCTTTCGCTGATTTTGAATTTTCAATTTTTGGCAGTTGCCACGTTTTATCGCTTGCCAGAATGCGTAGTGGCAAATGCCACTGCCGGTGGCAGTTGCCAGTGGCAGCTGTCACTGCCACCTTTTATCCCCTGCCGGCCGCACGACGTCCCGTAAGAACGGAAGAAAAAACAAAACTAAAATGAGGTTTAGAAATAGAATGAGCAGCTTCCGATAATGTGTCTAGTCAAGCTACGCGCATGGTCAGCTGGTCAGAACTGGTAGCCACACATGGTGAACCGCTTAGACAACATTCATCGCTTTAGTATTGTTGTAGGTGGGCAACGGCCGCTTGCATTCGTAACGGCCTGAATGACTCCGGCGCTAACCGTCGCCAGATGTTGGGCGCCGCGTTATTCCTTGTACGATTTCCGCTGCTGACAAATACCGAACTGGCTGAAGGTCCCAGTAAGGTACATGGGCGTTAACGCGGTAGAAGTGTAATTTTGTCTGTCATGTGATGGCTCATTTTGTAGAGCGGCCTGCTGACTGTACCGGAGTTGTTGAACTTGTTCGTTTACCACAGTGCCAAAGTAAAGCCGGTGCTTCCGTTCCCCGCGCAGCGTCGAAAAGGACAGCATGGGTTACGTGCGGGAGCCCAGGTGTTTGTGCTGGTGCCTGGCTCCGGGTTTTGGAAGCCAGCCCGAATAACCAAGGCCCACGAACAGGAAGCGGTTTTTAGTTGGTGTAAAGGCGGCTCGGAAGCTGTCGCTCCGATAGACACAGTGATTCTGGCGGAGCATATCTTGCAGAAGGACCAGCTGGTGTTAATCACCTCGTTGGGAAACTTTGGATATTACGACACTGCTTTGGAGGGTGGACTGCATCGGATTAGCTTGAACGGAGGTCGGAATGTTGAATTTGCTGATCTCAAACTTCATGATTTACATCTGGAGGCATGGAAAACAAAGCATGCAAAGTGTAAAGGCTTAGAATGATCTCGCGTGTATTTCTAAAGGTCACATAGTTGTTGTTTACGTTTTGGTTATGGCGGTTATGCCTATGATTGTGGCTTACCTGGGAACTGGTCACTGCATTGACCATGGCAAAGTATCAGTCGCGTGTTTGGCGAGCTTCAGAATCTTATTAAATTCTATTAATACGACTACTGCGTGATGTAACAATAGTGCACAAGCACTACCGCTACTCAGGTGAACTGAGTCGCTGGCCAAATCTTGCTTGTTGTGCCATGATACATACGGCCTTCATGCAACTGACTATCAAATAGTTTTGTTTATTAAATAAAATTAAATAAATTACATAAATTCATACACCGAAGGTATGTCAACAATACGACTTCACACATTGCCATTTTAGGGCTATAAAAGACAATCAAAATCTTTCGTCGGTAACAAGTTTGCTCTTTCCTGACAAAGTGCCCAAAACGGTTGCGGCATTTCACTTCATACTAGATTATCAGATTGCATTGATTTGTAATCAGTGTACATAATGCAATCGTTCACCGGGAAACACGAAGAGAGGCTAAACCACTTATGGCACAAACTTAGAATCGAACCAAAGAGTTAGGATCCGAAGCGCATTCTGGAATTTGAGTTATTCACGTAGCTGCCACTGGCGGAACCATGGTGGCAGTTTCGGCTGGTAAATAACAACCGCTCAAGGGCCGTTTCATGAAATAAAAACTTGCAGACCCACTGTGCCCAGTTTGACTCTGATTTTTATTCAGGTATTTCATAGTGATGTTTGTCATCTGAAAAACTGGAATTTGCGCTGAGCAAGTTGGTTATTATCTGGGAAGGTGGGAACTGCGCTCATTTTTTTATAGAGCTCTGTGCTGGGAATTTTGTTGGACATATTGACTGGCTGGATTAATTACATAGGTAAGTCACACATCAGATATGGCATCATATTTGCGGTAGACATGACAGCTCGTTGCAGGTCGTTCAACCAAATTAATCAGTTTTTTCTAAACAAACAACCTTAAAAACCGAGTGCTCCATAAGGCTGCATCGGGAATATGGCGGGAATCGCGCCATGTACTTCAGGATCTACCCGCAAACGGCTGCGATTGTCCGACAATTCGACTCTGCCGAAACTCGACGGAACCGAGTTTTTGCTGGGACTGCAAGATGCGCGTCACGATTTTTGTGATGTAGCGGTTCGAGGTGCGGTGGATCCAGAGAAGCCGGCAGAGGCGATTCCTTGTCACCGCAACGTGCTGATGGCACGCAGCGGCTGGTTCCGACGCATGCTGCGCTCCCAGTCGAAGGAGTCCCAACAGAACACTATCCAGCTGCATAATGTTCCCCACGACATCCTGCAACAGTGAGTGGAGATGCTGGCATTTCAATAGCCATATACCGCACTGAATGGTGCGTTGCAGGTTGATTGACTATATGTATTCCTGCGAGGTCTCCGTTAGCAGCAGCAGTAACGCGCTCCTGCTTCTGCAGGCAGCGGATCTGCTGGAGATGCGGCAGATCGCGGACATCTGCCAGCTCTTTCTCCGGAAGAATTTAAACCTAGCCAACTGGTTAAGCCTCTACCGTGAAGCGCAGCAGATGTCAAGTACGACCTTGAAGGAAGCGTGTCAGGCCTTCGCCCTAGAGCATTTCGTCAGCATCGCCCAGTCGCAGGATTTTCTGGAGCTGGATGTCGCTGAGGTGTGTTCTGTGGTTTTACCGTACATGGGATCAAGCTGCAAGTATTGCTTCCTGTTCGTTAACATTACAGTTGAAGCAGCTGATTGCTTCTGAGGAGCTCAATGCGGAGAAGGAGCAGCAAGTGGCAGACGCTGTTGTCCGCTGGCTGGGCCATTCCCTGCCACAACGGGCGCGCTGTGCCGTGGATTTGGTCCGGCGTATCCGTACGCCCTTGTTGGCTGCTGAATACCTGGCTTCGCTGTCCGACACTCCTGCCGGTCAACATGTTCAACAAGCGGTCTTTTCTGTGGCTGACGCCCCAAGCCGAGTGCGCAGCTCTTATCGTAAGTAACAGTGCGTGGAGTAACAACGTTTCATGTACTGGGATACATTCAGTATATAGCGAATGCAGAGAGTTAAGATAATTCGAACTAAAAACGCTCGGTTTCTGAATTTTTAAAACTGCTAACAGGTGGGGATGGGGGGTACTTTACAGGAGAGGAGGCTTGTACAATATAATTGCCCTATCGTATAGCTTCCTCGTTACTAGAATCTTCTGGGCTTCTAATAGGTACGAGTAATAGTGGCCCTACTTTAATAGCCCTAAATCAGCGGACAGCAAGCATGGACAGTTTTATACATCATTCATTCAGCAACGCTTCATTAATTTAAAATGGTCGCTGTGCAGCATAAAGTGCCATAAGCGTCTCCATCTACCGCTGCGGAAGATGCCCTCAAAACGCAGTTTACTTGATTCATGTACCCTACTCGATGTACGAGTACTATTCTGCGACTAACAGAAAATTCTTTGGTCTCACGCTCGTTACGTCAATGACCACGTTTGGTTTTAACTGATTCCCAAGTTGTTCCATAAAAGAAGAGAGGTCATGTATGTTTACAGGTTTTTTACTGTGTTGCGAAGAAGAACGAAACTTAATCTGTACTTCGCTTTTTTCATATTCCGGTCACTTTAACTATACAGTTCCGTATTCCGGTCACCAGGTAGCAAAATATCCTAACAAAACAAAATTCACAGAAATGGTTAGCTTTCATAAAAACGACCTCTCTCATTAAATCTGAAGCGTAAATATGGCAAAATAAAAAACAAGTTGTGGGATCAGCAGCTATTCATGTAGTGCGAAACATGTGCGGTCGTACCAGTGACCGGTGATTGGAAGATGAAACCATTCACTCAAAGTGACCGGAATATAAAAAATAGCGAAGTACGCGTTGTGAATTGCAGAGCCTGTGATCGTTTTTCTGAGGGGCTACGACACGCAAAAAAAATTCGCGGAGCACAAGAACGCTGCCGAGTTGTACTGTCTTGATCCGCTGACGCCCAGCATTTGGAGCGTGCCATGCGCAGTTCCACCAGGCAGTTGGGGCGGTCCTATGCTGTATATGGTGAAAGACGGTCGGTTGCGAATCTACGTGTTGGTCGATGCGATTGGTCAAGAGGACCCTTGCCGTCTGTACATGTACGATGCCAGCGTGGATCAGTGGACGAACGTGGGTAAATTTTCTGTCCGAGATGCCTGTCTAGCCGCAATCCACGATCGTATCTACGTAATGGGAGGCGACCGGGCGATGTATGCTTTCGACGAAGAACACCGCCAGTTGATCGCGAAAGCCAAGATGCCGACATTGCTGCATGGCAGTGCCACGGTAGCATATGACGGCCGGTTGTATGTGGTTGGAGGGATGTACTGGCCTTCGCGCAACGCAAGTCACCGTGCAGCCACGGCGGCGTATTGCTACGACCCAGCTCGCAACGTCTGGGAGGAGCTGGCGCCGATGCCGACGGGGCGCTTTGGTTGTCGGGCATGTGTTGGCCCGGACGGGCTCATCTATGTTGTTGGTGAGTTGACCTTGGAATCTTGCATCATAGCAGAAGGGAGGTACCGTAATTATGGTTATTGTTTCTTAGGGGGTTGTAACATTAGCCATGACAATGTCAGCTGTGTGGAGGCATACAACGTCCAGACAAATCAATGGCATTCCAAGCGTAAGTGAATGTGCTGTGTTCACTATTACTTCTTCGAAAACGCACTTTTAAATCAGGGTCCATGCGCGCTGTGATTTGTTGAAGCTAAATTTGCTGTAATTATTAATTTACTAGTACTTCTTCCCTAGAGATAAGCCTTTGAATACTATTACTTATTCAGAAACGCAATTTTCATCAGGGTCTATGCATGTTCGAAGATGGAGCACTGGGCTTGTGCGACTGGAAGACAAGTTGTACGCTGTGGCTGGGTGGAGTGGAATTTCGGATGGCCCTAAGAGAACCGAGTGCTACGACACCGAAACGGATAGCTGGTCGCGATGTGAGCCGTCATTTCCTTGGCAGTGTAGCATGGATTGTGCTGTGATACAGCGGCACATCGCCTGGAAGAACATGCAACGACCCAGTGCCGACGTCAATGGCTTGTGACCTCTCATCGTTTCTTAACCCATTGCATATAGGCATTCCACTTTTGTTTCGCCATCATATTATGAAGTTTCTGGTTTTCTATGGTGCACGAGATGAGACTTGCTGCTATAGAGTTCATTTACAGTTCATTTGGTTATATTGATTGCCACATGGTGTACTAAAGTGGTTGATGCAGTACGCATTAGTATCGTTACTCGTGTTGAAGTATGATTCGCTTGTTCATGTAACTGGCCGCGCGAAAGAGATGAGGCATTTTTTGATAAACTATAAGGACAACTCCATTGTCGGTCCTGCAGTTCCTTTAAAATACCCCAAGTATTACCGATGCTGTGTTACCTATACCGGCTATACGTATATGGATTCAGTGCTGCCATGTACGTACGTCATTGAACTTATTCGAGTAGGCACACTACAAATACAAAGCCGTTAAACTTTTTACCTGCTCTAGGTAGATGACAGTCCAAATATTATATTTGGGAATGCGAATATACTCGGGCCCTTCAAACGGACTATGAACTTTCCAGTAAACTTTCCGCGGAAACAATACGGTTTATAACTTGTTTGTGATTGTGAAGTGCACCAGTATTCTTGATTCAAGAACTAAGCCACTCAATGACTGACTAAATAAGCAATAAACGATTCAGTCAATAAACGACTCAAGCGTAGCAATAAAGGAGAGATGCAATAAACGACCCAAGCGTGCCCAAACGCTCGTAACAAGGTTTACTGTTGCGACACAAAAACCGAATATAGATATAGCGATGCGAGTATCCACATTGCGATTAAGCCATTCAACCAGTGCGCTAATGCTGCATTACAACCTTAAAAATAATATAACTTTTTGTTCCAACGCAGATTCCAATAAGTCAATTGGCAGCAAAATATGCTTGTGGTTGCTTGTCGACGGCCAACGCCTTGGCACTGAACGTGACCTTCATGTTTTTCGGTTAAACTTAAACGCAACCCCATTCATGAATTTATGAGAATGCTTCAGTTCACTGGCGCCTGTTGTATAATCTATCTACACTGTGGTTTTACTGTCAGCAGCAATGATGAATTCTGGGTGCCCGATAAAACTACTATTCAGATCAGGAAAGCCGTGTCGGCAACAAGCTCTACTAAACTATCAGCTGAGGACATGAACCCGCTCGACAAAACAGACACGGACCCAATTGGATTTAGAAAAGCAACCGGATCGCGTCACAAACGGTTTGCAGTCAACGTTGGTGGCGCCAGACAACTGAGCTTTAACACGTCCGAATTCTATCCTAGAGATTGGACGGAATCCATCGTGGATTATAATACTCACGGCAATACTGGGCGACATTCGGGAAGGGAGAGATCTGAAAAAGTTGAAGCACTCATTGATCCCACTGTCAAGTTAGACTACATCTGGTCTACCTTGTTCAATGGAACGTGGGAATTTTACATTGAGAAGCTACCCAAACTACCAGAATTTCCTGCTGCCTTACTGAATGCTGCCAACAATTCTTCCTGGGTCTCTGTAGACATCTTATGTCACGCGGTTATGGGATTGTCGTTCATCGGATCCGATCCGCGAATTCCTCTTGAACATTTGGTGCAAATGGAGAAAGACAATGGCACCTGCACGGAGTTTCTGCGATTGCCTGCAATGATCACGAAGAAGATATCAGTGAGTGATATTGCGATGCATTCCTCCAGTTCTTTTGAATCAGTGGTGCCGAATGGGGAGGCGACTTGGCTATGCCGACCAAATTTTATTTTTCTGTCTGCGAACTTGTCCTCGTCTTATACGAATATTTCGAGAAGGATAAAGTTTAGCGACAGCAACATAGTACTACCAGTGGAATTAGGATCACTGCCGGCAATAAAAAACTATAACTTCAAAATGGATTCGGTTACATTTTATGAGTTAACGAAATCAATCATCTTTCTGCGATCGATCGTCTTCGCCGATCTTACCGCCCAGATAGGTGTGTACTTCTGTGTTTAAATTCAAAATTCGAATGCAAATTAAGTGAATGTTTTCAGTTAAATTTTGCGTAGACAAAGCGCAGTGCGAACATTGCAATGAAACCGCCTACCCCGTAGCAGATGCCTATTTCCGGATAACTGCTGAACGCCCCACCGCCTTGTACAAGGCCGTGGCTGAGAACATTGTCCTAAAAGGAAGTTTTGATCAGCTCGAGATCGTGTCGCCAGTTATCACCGTAGACCTCGTCAGGGTTAAGCTAACCATAAACAACAGCGCAATTCCATACCGCTTTACAGAACCGGGAATTGAGATGGCCGTGTACCGAATACCAGTTGACCCAGCAGGGGTCAACTTAACCAACACGACCTCTCAGTACATGTGCGGTCACTACGGTGAAACCGATGACAGCGGGGGTTCGAAGTGGACCTTTGAAAAGGGCTGTCAGCGATCTCCGTCCAACCCGCTTACATTTATCAACTGGGATATGGAGAGGGTAAGTGTGTTTGCGTGTCAGTGCTACTATTTCGGCCAGTTTGCCGTGTTTCGGGGAATTCCAAACCGGTCCGCAACGAACGTATCCGATAATGATCACACTTCGTCGACTTCGAAGCCCACAGCACACAGCAGTAATAACAGTATCCCAGCCGAAGAAACCGTTATGGTAGCGCTTTTGAACTCCACGCTCGCCCATCTGGAGCATCTGTATAAATCGGATGCATCATCCAATTCACTTCGAAGCTGACTACGCTGGAAACGGCTTTCGTCCAACTGGAGAACATAACAATCGCTAGTCATTCATCTGCGCTGCAACTGATACTTGAACTATTCCAGTTGATCAACATTGTTCCGCAAACTGATATCGCAGAAGAACAAACAAAAAGCGGCATCGTTAACCGCCTAATGCGCGTGCGTGACCGAATTGCACGGTATAGCAGATTTATTACCAACCACAGCGACGCAGTAATTTCCGCTTCGACAGACGACTATTCCATCATAGTGTCGCGCGTGTCAAATGCAACGTGGATAATTGGTACTGAGTCCACAGAAACTGCACAGATCAATCTAATCACGACTACACGCAGCTCTTACAGAAACATTTCATTCGCAACTAATATAAGGCTACCGGAAGTGCTGGTCAATCAGATGAAAAATCTTTCCGGTGAATTGCCAACTTTACTACTACAGTATGTGTATAGCTAAAAAGTTGTATAGTGAGTGTTATATTACAGAAACCGAGGATGTACGAGTTTGGTACGAAATATCCCCAAGCATCTACGAAGCGTCAACCATCTCCGTCGACGATTCTTTCGGTGCAGTCAACGGCACACGAAGAAGGTTGGCGTTATCATCCTGGGTCACAGGTGCCAGTTTATCCATCCACAGCTCGCAGTTAAGATGGACCGAGCCGGTTATAGTGCGATTTAGAATAATTAACTTTGTAAGTTCCCGACTGTTCTGCTAGTACGAGTATAGTATGGGTTTTTGGGCGCAGGTCGAACCCTTCTATATTTTTAGCAACCATCCCTAAAATACTTCTGTGCATTTTGGAATGCTGACATCAATAATGGTTTTGGAGCGTGGAGCACCAAAGGCTGCATAACTAGGATCGAACACAACGGTTTCGCAGCATGTTATTGCGACCACTTGACCAGCTTCGGCATTTTAGTTGACGTCAGCGGACTCCTGAATGTTGCTGAATCTACGCATAAAATTTTAACACTATTCTCCCATTTTGCGTTAGGACTCTCCATAACTGCTCTGGCTATCGTTATCATCGTTACAACAATTATAAGGTGAGATTTTCACTTGTTGTTTTTCCGTGAAACGGATACTTCTTTAGCATTACGGTAGAATAATTGGTAAATTGCAGAATGTTTAAACGCGAGCGAAGGCTTCCCTTCAAAAATGAGTCGACGGACAAAGACTTTGTGCTGGTCAATCTTTCATTAGCACTCATACTAACCTACTTAACTTTCTTATGTGGAATTGATCGCATGGAAATGCGACAGCTCTGCCTGGTCACCGGTGTTTTCCTGCACTGGTTCTTCTTGGTCTCCTTTGCCTGGTTAGCTGCAGAGGGGTATCTTCTAGCCAGAGCCTTCGTAGCTAACCGACCACCGGTGCCTGTAAAACATTTCCAACTTTTCTCCGGAATCATGTGCTGGATTGTACCGTTCACCATTGTTGGCATAAACTTAATAATCGACCGCTTTGGTTACGGTTATGGCTTGGTGAAATCGTAAGTGTAGAAGTGTAAAGATATACGAACAAACAGTTATGTACTACCAAAACGATTGCTGTCGCAGGTGTTGGTTGGATTCGGTTTATTCTCCACAACGGTTTTACCTAACCGTTGTGGTGCCGATTTGTGCTGTTTTGGCTGGGAATTTTATTGTGTTCGCCCTTGTTGCAATGCGTAAGACAGCGGCACTTAATTGTGGTAGAGCAGTGTGAATTATTGCACCTACGTTTCAGGAATTGCTTGGACGAAGTCGCCAGTCGTCTCTGGTAAGCCTGACGGCGCTTTTCTTACGACATCGCTGCGCCGTTGCGCCGTACTGTGTGCTTTACTGGGACTTCCTTGGCTGCTTTTACTGATCAACATCTCGGACCATAACTCATCCACGTCCATTACCATGAATGCCCTGATCGCAGCGTTTTGTGGCACACAAGGGTTGGGAATTTTTCTGACCCAAATGTGTGGAATGAAGGCGACACTGCAGCGGATATACCGGTCTTTATAGCCACCGAATAGTCCGGTCGTAGGCAAGCGAACCGTTACGCATTCCAGTTAACGGTGCCCGTTTGCACCAACAACGTCCATGCCTCAGGATCCACTAATGCAGTTTATCCGACATAATTCTTCTACTCCGTCACACGCTGCTCCCGCATTAACCACATTTACACCGAATCAAAACAATTCGGTTTCGTTTAGCGGGTCCGCCGTTACCGATCGCTTTACATGGCATGTGGAAGTCTGTAATCTCGTGTTCACTGATTTCGCTCACTTATTACACAATTAATAGAAGGTTGTATTACATAACTAAAAAGCTGGCAGGTGGCTTTTGTAGAACCGCCCAACGTACGGTGGCGACCGTGACGGACCGTCATAAGTTAGACAACAAACCTAGGTTTTTGATCTCGCAGTATGAATGTCCCTTGAAGAAAAGAGCGTTTTCAATCCGCCAGAGCAAGTGCCGTACAAAAATTCGGACTCAACTTGTGGACTGCTATGCGCTTGTCCAGCCGTTGCTACGGCTTTCAAGAGGACATTTTTCTTAATAAAATACCGAAATATGTAAGTCTCTAGACTTAACGTGTGTGCTGTGTTGGGGCTTAAAGGACACCGTTATCCGACAGCTGTAAGTTGTAGCGTTACATTGGCAAAATGCCTTCGTCACTGGAGAATAGCCTGCCGTGGGAACAGTCCCACCCTGCCATAGTACTAAAGCCCCGTGTTAAGCACTAACTCGGCGGCACCGCCTTTTGATGGCGGCAATCCACCTAACGGCTTACGGACAAAACACTAACGACTGCAGTGCGCAAGCTACGTGCACATTTTCATCTGTTGCATACGTACTCGTAAAGAACGATAGACATTTTCTTATGGCAGTTGACTAACACAAACCAGTCAAAATAGGAAAAGAAGTGTGGTGAAAAGAAAACGCTTTAGGATTTACTGTAGGAATTACACTGAGATTGAGGGTACTTAGTATACGAAACTGAAAAAGCGCCTGAACTCTGAATACGCGGCGAATGTGAACGCTAAGTGAGCGCGCTAAGATAACGCACGCATGCACGTCACGTGACGTTATATGAGAGAATGTGCCGTTTCCCGCGATTCGCGGCCAGAAAAGCTACTCCGGAGTAGCTTTTTTGTAAAATGATGCATTTTGTAACAGAACGAAGTATTGCTATTCATTTTAAAAGCATAACCACGTAACACGTTCCACACTGCCACAGAGAAACCTACGAAATGACGCCAACCCTTGGAGGATGGCTTACTACCGGAAATTACAATCGTGGCGCGGCGTCTACATGAACTCTTGGAAGAGCAAATTTATCGATGCTTCTGATCTTCACGTTTCCGGTGGGAGTCAGCCATCATAACCGCGGTCGAGCCGGAACGGGTTGCGTTCACTTGGTGTCGAAAAGGCACGGAAGGGTTCGAAACGCCAGACAAGGTGATTCTCGCGAAGGCTATCCTGAAAAAAGGCCAGTCGGTGTATGTGCAATCAGAGAACGGATATGCAGAGTACGAGAACTGGGAGAAAAATGGGCATCGAGTCTCTGTAAACGGAAGGAAGGTTGTTAGCCTCGCGGATTTGGTGCTAAATGTACATGATGTGACGTCTTGGAAGGAGAAGAATGGGAACTGAACTAAGAAATTGAGCGTAGAATTTTTCCTATGGTGCTTATCATAGTAGAGTGACTGTTTGATTTTTTTAGTTTTCGTGTTCTAGAGCTCATTTCTTTTTAACTTTAAACAAACAAGTCTCTGTTTTTTCTTAAATCGTTCGGTCTGGGTCCCTATATAAACTACTGCTCTATGATCAAACTGCTCGCGCATATTTATTTACCTATACCTTTTGACAGTGTGGGTGTTTTTCCTGATACTGTAACTGGCGGTTTCTGGCCCACCATGCCACATCCCTCAAAGTGTGTGTGTTTCGGCGGCTGTTGTTGTATAGCAAGGTCGCCACTGACCGTCTCACGTAATGATATCGTGGTTTGGTTTAGTTAGTTAGATACAGTATGTACATTTTGTAACTTTGAAAGTACAGGTACAGCATTATTAGCAGTACTGCCGTGTCGTGTAATAGATAAAAAGTAGACGTTGCACAATGCTTGTCTTTATCCTCACTGCCGACCACGACACAATCGGATAGAGCAACTCTTATTTCAAACTGTTGGGAAGAATGTAGTGGGATGGTAGAAGTACTGTATCCGCTCGCACATCTTGAACCACAGAGTCCGTGTACGGGAAAAACACGCATTCAATATACACACTCTAACCGGGCAAAATGCACGACTACGAAATATTCCTCATTTGGTTTCAAGATGAACAGTTCTTCTTGTGAATTTTTGTTTATTAAATCAAGTCTTTTCATTTAAATGGCAATTCACTCTGGAAAAAAAAGGTTCTGTAGCTGAAAGCTCGCATTGTTCGGTGGTTCATCGCCATCAAGAATGTTGACGCGGAACGTACCCCCTCCTCCAGGGGCACCCCAAAAACCACAACAAAATCCGTTTGTAACTCGTGCTTACGCCAAAGCTGTATGTTAATGGCTGCTTTCGAGCCTAAACATGATAAAAATTGTTAGAGCTCTAATTTTTTTCATTATTCAAGAAGTTCTCCAGTCCAGATGTTGTAAGACATCAGAAATTTATCAAATCGCGAATCGCGCGTTTGGCCCGGTTAGAGTGTGTATATTGAATGCGCGTTTTTCCCGTACACACACTCTGTGGTCCAAGATGTGCGAGCGAATACAGTAGAAGTCGAAGATCAGGAACAAGTCAGGAACTGCTGGAACTCAGGAATCCCTGCTGCAAACACAATACACAAAAGATACGAGTATACTTACCTGACCTCACGCTAGATGGTAGCCGAAGCGTATGAGAAACTATCCATCAACTCGGTATTACGAGGCATAAAGATCGAAGAACAAGAAGAGACCAAAGGTCACGGGATGCAAGTGGGAGCTAGTGGGTAACCTATTACGCCACGAGACTATCTGAAAATGATAATGCACGTCGACGAAGTAAAGGAAAAACCCCTGACATAAGTGAAAGGTCACTAAGAGGTGAGTTAGCAAGAATCCTCACTTGGAAAAGAGATCCCAGGGCAAGAAGTCTGAAGTTAATCAGGTCGTGAACAAGCACTACTGCTTGTTGAAAGAAACTCTTGACATTTGTGTGGGCGACGAGCGCCTTATATAGTCTTGGGCACGCGCAGGTGCGACTCTTCGTACGCGCAGGTACGGTTCTGAGAACAATAGGGATTTAGAAACTAGCCAATACTCTACGATCACATACACGTGGACTAATCAAAGACAGCATTAACTAATCAGAGAAAAGGGTCAGCTCGTACACTAGAACAATAGGTAAAGCTACGTCACTGACACGCGGTCACGTCGAAATGGCAAGTCGCGGTCAAAGTTCTCTGCTGGACATTTCTCAGAAGGCTCGACTCGAACTCCTGGTCATGACTCAAGTAGACGTTGTAGTAAGGACTAAGCCTAAGCCTTGGGTAGAAGTAGTAAAGATGTGTACTAAGGGACGCCAGTACACGTCAGCCGCATCATATCAGAGGCTTGAAGTGATGTACTGTGTAAGTATTATACGTAACCGTCAACCCGGTATACCAAACAGGATTGCACGAGTTGTACGGTTGACAAAGAAATTCAGCGCACGAAGTGCGAAGATTGCCCACCTTATCACCGCATTAAATGCCAGGGAGGGCCATTTCAACATTTTGTCTGGATTCCTCATAAAGAAACCAGTAATCGAAGACGTGTTTCACTGCCTGCAGGCTGTGGAATGACATGTAAACATTGTGGAAAGTGTTTTCTTGTGCTGGATGCCACTCATGCCACCATTATTTTGGTTATGCAGTCAGGCCAGAAGTCACCGACATCTCGCAGAAAACTTTGAATGCCATTTACGCAGCGCGACACACTGACTGCGGAAGAGCACGCTTTTTACTTGGCTGATGAACAGTGCCTCATTAGAATGATTAACAGATGTATGAGTACAGTGCAGATACCGTTGCAATTTTATGGTAGTCAGAAAATCAGTGCCCATCACATGAATTACATTCCAAGTCCTGGTATTCCGTAGCGTTTCAAAATATCTAAAATTCATAGAACGCGCGCGACTGCGGGATAAAATATGCGATGACTACTGCAGGAGCGATTTCTGGCGGCTGTCCGCCAGATCGAACAGGCTTTGGGCACTGTAATAACCGGTAACATTCGGCGTATAAATATACTTTTCAAAACTTCGCTTCCGGGGATCAATCCGGTATGGTCCACAGGTCAAACGGTCCCTGTAGCCGTAGCAGCAAGTAACCACACGTCCCGGAGGTACGTAGCGGCGCGGCTGTTTCTTCAGCCATTTCCACAATGGACGCAGCGATGGGCAGTCACAGTCTGCATCACTTTGGCAGAACGGATTGTATTCAATCTCCAGGAAGGGTCGCGCGTTTTCGCTGGACACGCTGGCCAGGAGACGCTCGTCAAGCCAAATCAGCTTGTTTGCGGCCAGGCGCACCGCCCCCACCTTCTGCATGGCGAAATCATGGCTCAAGTACACCTCCTCAATCTCGTTCTGCTCCAGAAAAATGGCCTGTCAAAACAGTAAGAATAAATAATAAAATGCTCTACTTGTTTTCAGCCTGAAGTTCAAAACCTTTTTTCACGGTTTTTGTCCATAAAAGGTGCGGATGCGCGAACCAAAGGGCAAGCTTAAAACAATTTCGGTGCACCCGGTAGGTGATAAGAAACTCCTTAAAAATTTTTTGTAAAAGGCACGTTGGTGCAAAGCCGGTTCGGAACCACAACCAAGCTTACATCATTTTCCTTTCAAGCCTCAACAGTTTTCAAAAATCTTAAATTCACTTTGGATTTTGGAAAGGAGTTGTGCCCCTGGCTTGTAGTATGAAACTCTGAATCATCTTCACCTCAAGAGGATGGGATAATAACCTGACTTTCGGTGCATAAAATCGCGCCAGCCCTTTGCTGTGGCTTGTTGACCGACAGTCAGAATATGCATGGATAAATAAATTGCAGTCTTTATTTCAATAGCGCGATAGCAATATCAGGTTTATTTACGGTTAAATAAATTACTGTACCGTCTGTACGCAATATACTTTTGCCACGCCGCGACACTGATTGTACTGGCTTTAAGATATTATCCAACGCATACCTCTAAGCTCTGCGCTAGCGGCTCCCAGACGGACCAATCCAGTCGCGTTATGGTGTTCTCGCTGATCCACACCGTCTTCAGAGTCGGCGGGGCACGGGCCGGTGTCAGCTGGAAAACGCGTCAACGGCAACAGCCGACATGCGATTCCGAGAGAGTTCCAATCTGTCCAATGCCGCGAAGCCGGCAAAGGTACTCCCTGTAATGGTGGGTAGATATATGAATTTTAAACTCAGTTCTGTTAGTGTCAACTGCACACTGCGGAGAAAACGACCAACGGGAAACGGCCGATCAGCGGGCGCCACCCAAATGTTACTTAACACGATGGTGCGGAGATTGGGCAGGCGCGGCAGCGGGATGAATTCGGTGTGCAGACAGCTGGGAGGGCACATCCGGTTAGAAGAGTATGAATTCGGATAGTGTACCTCGCCGATCCGGAGAAAATCGAGAGAGCGGGAAATGAGGCTGACATTGTAGGCGGTGGTGTGGTTACAGGCGCACACCGGCCACGCGGCACTGCAAGTCGGCAAAACGTAGCTGACACAGGTGTCGTCAAACGCGTGGTACGAGTCAATGGGGTGAGGCAGGCGACGGTCGCGAAAGCCCTTGTTATACTCGGAAGAACTGGCAGGAAGAGCCGGTGCTGTCAGTGTGCCAGCAGCAACCGATTCTACGAGGAGTAATGCCGTTAAATCACAGAAGAATCGCAATTTCCACGTGGACATTTTGATATCGGTAAGCATACTCCGCATGATGACGTGCAATGCAACTTGACTTTTACTCTGTAGACGGTCCCGTGCGCGACATCTCTTTATACGGGGATCGACAGTAAAAAACACCAAGAGTGTACTAAGGATGTATATATGCACGCTGCAAAGCAGCCAAAACAAGATTTCGCGAAGATTGATGCTTCACTCCGCCGGAACGAATGCGAACGTGTCGCCACCAAGTGCCGCGTGGAAACGTGTCATCATTATACTCATTCTCCTCACGTGCTAACCTGTTGATTATTCACGATTCCGTTTAATACTGTAGGAGAAGATCGTCATATCAATACAACGTTCAGTGATTAGGACTGTCAACACGTTTTGTTTCACCGCCTGCAACCGAGCGTTCACCTTGCATGATTTCTGAAATGGCAAGATACGCATAATTATCGAACGTTTTATGAGTACTGTGGCATGAGTCATTTCTGGCAAGCGTTTGCAAGCGCTAACATAACAAATGACGTTGCACGGAAATAGTTAACTATTGCAACAGTATGCGATGGTGACGTACCTTGTGCATAATTACTGCGATTCGCACGTACATCATTACGGCATGTGGACTCGGCTGGTTAATTCGCTTTCGTGACTATATAATCCCTGAACTGGCGCAGTGTCTTCAGGCAACGGCAGCAATCCCGTCATGGTGAATGACAATGATTAAGCAGAATATCGGTCGATATGTTTCATAAGTCAGTTAAAGATGTCACAGAAAAATCAGCGGTAGCCATACAGCAAGGTCAGCCACCAAAGAGACACGAAACGTTTTCCAGAAAATACGACGATTCACGAATCATCGCTGGATCCAGCTACCCAACTGCGGGTGGAAAACTTCGTTACTGGACAACCAGGTCTAAATGTCGAATATCGGAAATCTGGAACCGATCGTTACTGAGAGTTGACAGCGTGTCGTTTTCGATTGATATTGTGCAAAGGTCATGCGCTGTTGCACTGGACGATAGTGCGATGAAAACTCGAGTGCGATTGCAGCAAATTTGATGAAATTAACACAGCCCAAATTAGATGAACATCGCGCAGCCGTGTAAGTATCAAAAACAGCGACAGGCGAGTAGCGGAATCTGATAACTTACGCTGATGAGTATATTTATCGACTGGGATACGTTCAGGACATTCAATGGAAAAGCGGTTTATCGAAAGTTAGCCATTCGGGTAAACAAGGCCACGTTTAACAAGACAAGTTACAGATATAGCGAGGTGTTGTTGCTCTCCGTTGACCGCGCTGTGGATTCGAAAGTGTTCCAGCCCCGCAATACTCCGTGCAAACACCGGCATAACTGGATCGACCTCCTGTTCGCCGGCGGCAAAGAGTAGATTGCTGCTCTACAGTTGTGGCTAGCTGACCGCCCCATCGGGAGGTGGCTACGTTATGCATCGCAGTATGCACGACCTAGCAACTCGATCATTTTTTGATTTTCGGAATTCAGTCCTTGCCAGAATATTGTTGAAAAAATTGCAGTGCGTTGTCATACATCACCCGTGAAGTTTTCAAGTTTACAGAGAATTTTTCGCACCTCGTAATAATTTTTACTATTCACCAGGTTCACGGTGCATCAATATGGACGGAACCACCAACTGCAGCCCTGAAGACTTTATATCTGTAGATGCCTATTCAGGTTCCATTCACCGCCGGAGACCGAATCGAGAGCTCGTCAACTGCATCAGCCGTTCGCTGACTAGCGGAGATTTAAGCGACGTGCAGTTCACAGTTGGAGGGCAGTATGGACCAGGGAAAACTTTCAGTGCTCACAAGTAAGGATTGAGGAGCACGAACCGCTGGGTTGAAACTAGGGCTTTACAATATTTTGCAGATATGTTTTGTGCCTGCGTAGCTCAGTGTTTGCTGGCATCTTCCACAAAAATTTGTCAGAGAAAATCGAACAGCCTATTGACATACCGGATGTTATGCCCGCAGCGTTTGCCAACATGCTCAGGTTAGGTCGTTGTCTCCTTGATGGTTCTTGCGGTACGCGGAGGTCGCCAAGTTTTCCAGATCATTGCAGATTCCTATACACCGATACAGTGTATGAGTTGTACGTGGACAACGTCTGCCAGACACTGGCGTGCGCGGAGAAGTACAATGTGCAGCCTCTGGTGAAAACATGCGTCACATTCATCAGGGCCCGGCTGCGGGCGGACAACTGCCTGACCATTTTGGAGAATATTGTGCGTTAAACTTTAGTGTTCGCCATTCGACCGTGAATTTATCTTAAATGTTCGTTACAGGGTGCCTACAGCCACGCCGAGAAGATTGTTAAGCGTTGCTGGGAACTGATCGACCGATGCGCTACCCGCGTACTCGAATCGCAGCACTTCACGAGCATTAAACAGGAGACACTGGTCACGATCCTGCAGCGTGATACGCTTTGCGTAGGCGAGAATGATGTTTACTTGGCGGTTGAGAGGTAAATACTGTTCATAATGTTCCTGTGCGACGATCACTAGGATGGCGGTTCTTTTGGCAGATGGGCGTTGACGGCTTGCGGTACCCATAATCTTGGTCCATCGACGGCCAACCGGCGACAGATGCTGGGTGACGCGTTGTTTAATGTTCGGTTTCCCTTATTGACCAATGCGCAGTTAGCCAAAGGGCCCGTAAAGGTAGGCACTCCACTACATAATTTAGACGGCCGTACTTTGCGCTTGATTTATTCGGTTAGTTGCTTCAAAAATGGCTCGATGCACTTACGTATCCCGCACAATATATAAATATTATATGTTTTCCTTATCGTTAGCCGGCACGGTACATACTTTAACTGTCCCTGATAGTGCTTGGCTAAACATATTGCATAGGCCACTCTTAACAATTTTTTTCCTGGAATAATATATGGATGTTTCTTATCTTGGTTTTTCCGTTTTTATGTATTTCTATCACCCTGTGCGTGAATCTCCTTTTGCGAAGCCATCGGATTATTTCGAGACACTCTTTGTCTTCGTTTTATTGTGGATTTAGACAGTAAAAGACCAAGTAGAACTATCAGTTACTATCTACAGATATGTTGGAATAACATTTAACGGATTACAGAGTAGATTACTGCTACCAGCCGAAGCAGAGGCCCTGTACAAGTATAAATCTGCCAAAAAGAAACCACCGCTGCCCTTCCTCGCGCAACCCCGCATCTCCTCTTTCCACCGCATTGCGAATACGGTGTATCAGCATCGCGAAAAAGTGTTTGTCAAGATCAGCAAAGGCCGGCCGGTGTGGGGTCCAGCGGAAATCATCGGGACTCGTCCGCGGCAGTTTCTGTTCGAGTGGCGGAGTTCCATGCGGGACGGGAATGATGCCGCCGCCGGCACCAAGATCATGCGCGCTTCCGATGTCTTAAAGCCGGGCCAGCCGCTGTTTGCGGTTATGTGGCCGGGTTATTTCCGGCCGTCGCGATACCGCCGGGCACGCAAAAACCAGCATGTGGTTTATTGTGAAGACCAGGAACACACTCTTGGCTTGAAATGGTTGATGTTGCAAGACGATCAAATGCGGGCATTACGTGCCCGGATTGCGTTGCAAGGCAAAAAGGCCAAAACGTCTGCTTAACTGAGACCACAACTCAGAAGCGGAAAGGAAGGATGATTAGTCTGCAAAAAAATTCTAGCGGAAGTTGCAGCATGTTGGTGCTTGTCGCCCACGATGTCATTCTGTAATGTGGTTGGGCTTAAAATTTACAGTACTCCTCGTTTCAAGTTTGTATAGTTAGCTGTTCCGTAATTTTTGTTCTGTAAGTGACCGGGCTTTGTTGATTCTTCACATTTATTCTTGTACATTTTCACATTGCGTATTAAAGCGGATGAATATTGTCTAAGCGGTTCACCATCTCTGTCACATGATTGCGCAGTGGTTACTTATAGGAAGCCGTCCATTCTATTTTAAAACCTGATTTTACTATATTTTTCTTTATTTTATTGTACGGCACGCTCTAATAGGTTAGAGTGTTAGACTGCGATCTGGTCGCGCAGGGATCTGGTGCTTCTGCTAATCGTACCCATGGGTCCATGGCTAATTTCGTGACCTTGCATCTTTTCCAACCTGAACAGTCGATGGCTCCCACGAAGCGCGCTGAATAAACTACTTGACTATACCGCACAGAATCGCGGTGGAGCGGACCAAACGGAATTGCGCCACTTCACAAAAGGAAGAGTGCCGGTTGTCAGCCAAGCGCCATGGGGTGGTAGTCACTTGGCCAGCAGCTTAGTTTCCCGGATGCGACGAGCCAGGGTATTTAGTTTCACGAAATACATTGATAACAATCATCTTCCAAGATTTTTAACGCTTTTATCTTTTTGCTAAGTTGTCCTCACTACTTTTTAATTGCGGTTTACCATTTTTGACGAATTGATTAGCCTGTCACGTCGTGGTGTTACCTGCGACACGATAACGTGTTTTTTTCTCTGCACTCTGTAGCTTGTTACCTATAGCAGTACAGCCAGTACTTAACGTGCTACCAGCAGTCCAGCACCATGGTATCCCGGAATTCCACCTCGTCCACAGCCGATGTGGGACTTGTCAGCTGCATCCAGCAGACCCTGACCAGTGGAGCCATGAGTGATGTGCGCTTCTCTGTCGGGCGTCAATTTGGCGCTGTGAAGCTCTTCGCAACGCACAAGTATTCGCAGACTCACCGTCGTCCTAAAGAAGTCCCATGTCAGCGCTTTTCATCCGGCATGTGGCTTTTTTCAGGTATATCATGGGTCTGCGCAGCAGTGTGTTTTATGCCATGTTCTACGGAAGTATGCCCGAAAATTGTGAAAATCCTATCGACATTCCGGATTGCATTCCCGATGCGTTCGCCAACATGCTTAGGTACTTAATGGCGAAATTGCAGACTTATACTGCAGAACACGTTTGGCTTCGCAGGGAAAACTGCATCACCATCATTACAGCCTAATCCTATGCCTAAAGTATAGCAAAGCTTGATTAAATTCATTCGATAATTATAATTTTTGCAGCTGGATGTACACGGATAAGGTTGGGGATCTCAGTGCGGACAATGTTTTCCCCACTTTGAGCTGTGCAGAGAAGTACGATTTACCGTTCCTGGCTAAAATTTGCTCGGACTAAGTACCTTCTGAATCATCTTGATGTCTGCAACTGCCTGAGCACTTTGGAACAGGTCGGTTACTCCCAGCTGATGATGGCGCGCTAGTGACTCTTTGTCGCAGATGCTGTAACTATCCCTTTAGCTACCACTATCGACGAGGTCTTGTTGCAGGCAATCCATTGGCGTGCTGATAATATCGCGGAGAAGTGCTTGAAATTGATGGATGATTATACCGATGAAGTTCTGCGATCGGACCAGTTCGTTGGCGTTGGTCAGGATGTGTTGCAGGCCATATTGCAGCGCAACACGCTGACGGCTACGGAGCACGACATCTACTTGGCTGTGGAAAAGTAAGTAGGAATACTTTTTTTTTAAGATGAGCCTTTGGGTCTTCATTCGTGCTCAGTACTCGTATAATCGTATTGCGTACGAATATTCGCATGTATTCTGTATTGTACAGTATATTAGTACAGTCAAGTGTCAACTAATCACTGAATGGAAAGGCAATCAAACTCAAAAGGCTCATAATTGCGGCTCTTGCTTTGACGGTGTCGATGGCGTGACACTCATGCTTGATAGGAGACTGCAAATTTCTATCGCAGTGTGTTTGTAGATGGGTCACGGAAGCCTGTAAGCGAAACAACAGACCGGAGTCAGCTGACCACCGGCGTCAGGTGTTGGGCGCTGCGCTCTTTCTGATTCGCTTTCTGCTCCTGACTAGCGCTCAGCTGGCAGACGGTCCGGCGAAGGTTAGTTGCACTCTGGTGTCATTTTGACGACATTAAAATATTGCGATCACAGAATGTTCATTAAAAGATTTAAGAATTGTATACTCCATTTGCTTTTCGTATTGCAGAGTGGACTGTTATGCGACGCGGAACTACTGAGCATCTTTCTACACCAGCATGCTGCTGTGAAGCCGCCGCTCCCCTTCCCCACGGAGTTCCGCTGCGATGTGCTGGCCCGTGCCGGTTTCAAGCGCGGAGATGCTGTGTACGCGGAGCGCACGGGGGGACGGTGCTGGACGGCAGCCCACATTACAGGCTGGCGTGATTCCCAAGTGGTTATCAAGTGGAGCAGTGATGGTCAAGAGGGCAGCGCCATGCCCGACAAGATCGTTCACGCTGGACAGGTCTACGATAGCCATACAGGCCGGTTCAAGGATTCTCTGACTCAGAACGGCCAGCGCTACACGAAGGAACGTGATCTCCCACTGGACCATGAACGTTTCGTTACATACAAAGCGGCCCTGATCATTCGCATGCTTTTGTGAGGATTTCTGGCAGCATTTCATGTGGTCTTGTTTTGATCGCGGTTAGCACAAGTAGATTCGTTTCATACAGTGGGGATGTCGAGGAATTCATGTCTAGAATAATAATGTCACCGTTGTCACGAAAGGGTTTAATGGGGTTTTCGGCGAGACAATGGCGTAATCTCTATGTTGTCCATTTTGTGCACTTGTCTTTTATCCATAAGGCTATAATATTCTACTTTCTTCAAATGCGATAAGCGGCGCCTTTTTTTTGGGCAGCGTCCTTAATTCATTGGGAAGATCAACTTATATACGATTAATTTTGCGAAATCACTTGATGGATTGCTAGTGGCAAGTACGACTGGCAAGAAACTGGTGCAGGACCGCACTATTTTTCAGGCAAAACTCAAACAACAGAAATATTTTCATATAACATGTTTTCGCATGTAATGCAATTCAAACATTAACAAACAACGCAACTAGTTAGTAGGAGTATTTCTTCGAGAACCATCAACCTTTCGGATGCGGGTATGTTAGTATCCGGTCAGTAATTCTTGAATTTTTTATAAATAAAACTGCTCGCTGTGTTCCTTTGCAATTTTTACCACACCACAGCCAAACCCCCATTTTTCTACCGGCATTTGGCTTTCTTCGATGGTCGTCCACGTGTCCGAAAAGACGTCATAAACTTCTATCGTCTTTTGACAGGTTTCGTTTGTGCCACCCAAAACATAGATTTTATCTCCGACGCAGCAACTTCCGACGGAAAATAAATGACGACTCATGTCACCTACGAGTAGTTCAAGAAGCTTGGATTCACAATGTGACGATAGATAGCAACGCAAACAATGTTTGTATGCACTGAATAGTAGTTTGATATGCTGTGTCAGTATTCTGTAGTGAACTCGCCAATAAACTAGTAATTCACGACACATAAGTTTCTCAGAGTGGCGAATCAATAATTTTCCGGAAAATGAGAGCCGGTACTTACTTTTATTGGTCCACTGCTTGGTCCTGGGATTATAAGCCTCGACGCAGCTTAAATAGCTCTTCCTCACTCCACCTGCCAAAAAGTCGTGATTAAATTTACAGCGCATTTGGAAATTCTTACTTCTCATTCTCTGTAAGGCTGCTTATAAGCCACACCCTTTATTTTCACCTCTAAGTTAAGATTTGCAAATTACATGTATGTTGACTATCGTTTTGAAACAGCAAGCAAAATAAAGCAATCGAAACGTATGGCTGTATCTTGAAAACTAATGCGCGACATTCGCCTACCGATGACGTAAATCAACCCGTCGGATCCGGCACACGCCGAAGCGCGGTACCGTGCCGTCGGCATCCGGGGCAGTTCACTCCATAGATTCGATTTCGGATCGTAGCAGAACGCCGAATCCGTGGCAACATAATTACAAAACCCGGTGTTGCCGATCGTATGCCGGTTCGACGTACATCCGCCAAACACGAATACTTTTCCTTCGAAACCAACGATCGCTAACTTCTCCAAAGGCGTTGGTAAGGACGCCTTGTATGCCCATTGATCAGCGGCCCCATCATAACGCTCAACACTGGCTAATACCTGTTTCTCGCTATCATGACCACCAACGGCGTAAATATACCCGTCTATCGCTGCAATCCCAAGATCGCCTCTCCCGGTGTTCATTGGTGCGACATCATCCCAGCGAGCTAGAGAGCTGGAATAACGGATGGCCCGCGGCGTCACATCCTTGCTACTCTGGCCGAAAATTCCGCCGCACACGAACAAGTCCTCATTAATGGCGATAAGACCACTTCTAGCTATAGCGTACGGTAAATGAACCAGGTTTTTCCACTTGGAAGTGCGCGGATTGAAGCACTCCACGCTGTCTGATAGAGACGTCCGGAAGTGGCTGCGATGACCACCCGCACAGATAACGAGGCTCTCAATAGCTAGAAATAATCCGTTTACTATAGTTAGACTAACTGTGAAAAAGGGATAACATAAAATGGCTGCAATATACCGTAGGATTTTCTTGGGATGCGTCGTAATGAGGATGCCTGGCTGTCGTAACCCGGCAAGGCCTTGAGGTGGTCTGACGGACGCACTGCTTCACCCCCAGCCGAATAATCTTTAATCGAATTAAAACAGGCCAACAGGTAATCATCACTACCCTGTGCGCTGAGATGTAATGGACGGATAAACTGCAATATCTCCCAAAACTGACAACGACGTTGCGGGAAATCATGGTGATGCCAGCGGACAACGGCCGAAAATACATCATCTTCGCGTTGGACATGCAGATCGTCGGATCGAATCAATTCGATAACCTGTCAAGTACCAGAAAATCTGTCAAACCCTTACCATTAGGAATGAAGAAAACTTTTAGGCAACTGTTTTGTGGTCGCACCACTTGCAGTTTTCTTTATTGAGCTGGATACTGCTTATGAAAACTTGAACAATCAATCTTATATATACCATCTCTTTCGGTATTTCCAGGAATTTTGCTCCTTGAGTAATGCCAACAAAATGCTTGAGGACCAGAGCCTTGGCCTTGATTGCTAATGCAGGATTGTTATGAGCTTCGGAATTTGCAAACGAATACAGCTGCAGGCAATTATTAACGTCCATATGATCTTCCAGAAACTGCCAGCAGGCTGCCACGACAGGGACAATGTCCAGGAACAACGCGGCAATCAGCAACGGCTGTACGTTGCCTTCGGTGATGAATACCTCCGTCATGTAGCAATAATCAATCAGCCTGCAAAGGAATTTTCAAACATTAGACCATTCATGGGAAAATTCGAGGAAAACAGTATAGCAAAGAACATACGAATCTGCATATAAGAATATTTAAGGCTCACCAGAGCTAAAAACTTTTACTGACCATTTACCACTATAGGAAACTTACTGTGATAAAACATTGCTTGAAATGTTTTGCAGGTAAACGACTTCTTGCTTGGATTCCTCGGATCCCGATAAGAACATGTTAGAGGCACGACAGCCTGCGTGGTAGATACGCCACTTTGCGTATGCGTACCAACGCACACATGCTGATTCGCCCTCTCTTGTACGTACGTGAGTGGCTGCACTGCACTCTCCGCCTAGCGGATCCACCGCGGGCGCACTCACTGAGCATACTTGCTCTCTCGTTCCTCTCTCGCTGTATGACTCAGCGCTTATACGCTCGCGTTGGATACGAGTCCAGTCTGCGCATCACATTCGACATGTCTGGACAGCACGACGTTGCCGCCAGCACACTTCTCTCTCTACATTTGATTACGCTCTAGAACTTGCTCTCAGCAACTTGACGTGCTGATTTTGCATAGCCAGACATTGGCTCTTGGTTCTTCCTCTCCCGCAATCACGCGGTATTTGCTCCCTTTATCTGTCAATAAAGCTCACTGTGAGTCCCCTGCGCTTGCCTGTCACATGGTAAGCAGATCGTTTGGCTTTTCGATCCACCGGACCCTTTGAGGAGACGGTAAAGGCATTTTTCGGAGAACCTGAGGAACCTACGGTAAAAGTCAGATAGACTGCAAACGCAGCCTCTGCTTCGACCGCTGATCAGACAGATCTTGCCGTCTTACGATTGTGGAAGCACAGGTTGACCGCAAAAGCGATCCCTGACGCAATCGGTGAGCATCAGTTCCTTAACTCTTCCACATAAGAAGAGCGGACAGTTTTTCCCCGACCTTACGGGACGCTGACGGACCAGGCTCGCTACGATAGCCTGCAGCGCGATAGGATTACTCCATTAATACGGGGACCTTCGCCTTGAACGGCGACCCGCAACTTTAACGGCGGATTTCGACCGAGAAACGGCGGATCACCGACCTCCCAACAGCGGATAACCGACCTCCACGGACCCGTAACAAACCGGTAAAGTCGTGGTTACAGGTCGAAACAGGTCGAAACTAGGTCGAATTCCTAGTTTTTGACTGTTAACTTTAATTTCTAACGGTTAAAAACAACTTTTTAACGGATAAAAATAAATTTTCGTCGGAGAAACCGACCTAAAAACTTACTTTCACTGACCTCTTTTTTTGACTAACCGACCACTTCTGGCTAACCGACCAGAGGTTGGTCATTTTCTTGATTTTCATTTTCGACGGATTTCCCACCGTCAGAAAAATTCCTAAATTTTTAGAATTAATTTCTAACGGCTAAAAACTTAAAATTTCGACCAGATAACAACTCTGGCCGACCAAAAATAACTTGTTTTTCCGCTTAAAATTAGCGCGAAAATTTCTGATTTTCTGTGTGACGTCAGAAGGACTTACTTTCAGTACTTTAGAGCCGACCAATCAGAGCTCTGGGAAAGTCCCCATACTTATAACATAGTGACCGTCGTAGTGAGTCATACTTGTTTACGCCTTTTGTGCGCACGGCACTAACGTCGTGACGTAGGCAGATAACAGCAAGACCATTTCGTGTGACGTCACACCGGTCATTGGCAGTAGTACAGGACGCACGTAGAACCGTATCACCTTAATGTACTGTAGTATACTACTGTACTGTAACATAGCACTGTACTGTAATATAGTACTGTGTTGTAACCCATACTGAGTCACACACAGGATTACGCCATCAACAACGTTGGCCCACATCTACCGGACACACGGAAGTTCCTGAACCGAAAAAAGTTCCTGCTCTCATCGGAAATCCCCACATAAGGGATTGTCCGATTGATTGGCTGAAGCGAGAACGCTCAAGCCTTTCACACTTTGACGGTGCTGTACATCATCGGATCCAAACGGACATCCCCACTTGGGACATAGTCCAACCGACCAGTGCAGACCGCCGGCTTCCCTAACAAAAGGGACCTGGTGTCTACGGGCATCCCCACAAAGGGATTAACGTCCGTTCGTCTCGGCCGAGGTAAACAAATACCCGGGCCATCACCAGCTGACTGTGAAAATGGCCGCGTTGGTCAACAACACCTACGCTCACCAACCTGGGCCACTCAAGGCGGGTGGATACAGCTTCCAACATGCCAGCCCAGTCGGTCGTCAGGTGCCATCCGCGAGCCCACTTAGGCGAACGGAGGTACCGGGAGCGCGCGACCAGCGCATCCCACCGACCGGATTCGCCGCATTTGACAGCGGCCTCCAGGACACCTACGAGAACGGCTTGGTCCCGGTCGTCAACGAAGGCGGTTACCCGGCACCAACCCGGCCCAACTATGACATGGTGCATCTGACGCGGTCGACAGCACCACTGACAGTGGTCGACCGGCAAATCGCATGCAGAACCCCGGAACGGCGGATGGAGAATCCATCAGCGGCCACCGTACAGTCTTACAGCGGCCTAGAGGACGGCAACATGAAGCCGGACCCCAGGTACGGAAGTGGACCGGACAGCCAACCCTACCAGGCGGAGGAGCGCGAACAAAACGCGCCACTCTACCAACAGATTGCTGGCCTCCTGCTCCAACTACAAAGGAGTCAGGACGAAACCCTGCAAGCCGTCGACACACTGCAGAAGAACCACACCGTAACTCTGCAGGCTGTCGACGCGCTAAACCGTCGGATCTCCGATCTGGAGCAGCATCAGTCGGAACCACCTTGGACGGATGCGAACCGGCCAACTGGACTGCCGCTGCAGGTACCTACCGGACCGGTAGTTCAGTGTCCAAAGAACCACGGACCGGCAACGGTGGCGCCACATAAGCAGCCACAGCCGACCAAATATGTGACCTTCGACGGAACATCACCCGAAGGAAGGGTCATCACGCCGACTAACACGTCGGTGCCGTGGTCAACAGCACCACAGCCGCATTATCCGGCCTCTTACCCGTCCGCGCTCCATAACGCAGCCGCCGGAGAAACCAGTCCACACATGGAACGAACAAGTTCCCCCCTTGACATAGACGATCCGAAATGTCTGAACCAACCGGAGTTCAACCTTCAGAGAGCACGCACTCGGTCATACAACACGGCCGACTCGCAACTAGGCGGGTATGGTGGCCAACCTGATCCGGCCGGCTACCCGGAACAACACAGCCGGGTGCAGCTATATCGACCCACAGAAGGTCGACAGACTCCACTTGGGTTGCAACCTGGCCTATACGGAAGAGTCCCCAACCTACCTGAGGGATTCTATCCGGAGCCACCACAATCAGCTCAAGTATCACCTCCGCAAGCGAACGGACACGATGGTCAACTAGAACCGGCTCGTTATCTGGCAGGTTATCCGGACCAACAAGGTCGGATACCAAACGCCAACCCACCACCCGCCCTGGATGTACAACAGAATGCATCAGTGGCACCTCAACACCCTCAGCATCCGGAGGCTGGACACGCGTTTAATCAGGAGGAGAGGGACGGCCCAGCGATCAGCTCACACGAACGATGATACGAGCATGTGCCCGCGGACGTAGACAACCCTTACCGGACTTCGACGGCGACCACACCAAACTTGATGGTTGGATGAAACAGATCCGTCGCCTACACGCCGAGGCCCAGGAATGGTTTGAGTCGGATATCCGCTTTATGACCGACCTTGCTGCCCAACTCAAAGGACAGGCTGAAGAATGGCACAGACTGGCTGCAGCCGACGAACCACTTGGCGGATGGCCAGTAAATCTGTGGCTTGCGAAATTCGAGGAGCGGTTCGCGGACAAAAATAAGGAGATTAACGCTTTAGCAACGATGGCTAAGCGGAAATACCGTTTCGGACAAGAGACGCCGGAACAGTACTACGATGCCATGATGAGTATCAAATCTCGAGTCCCATCCATCACCGACGTAATGGCGGTCCACTACCTAAAGGAGAACATCCTCGAACCCAAACTACGGGAAGCTCTGGATATCTGGATGCCGGCGACTACGGCAGAGTTCCTAAAGTACATCCGACAATACACCACTGGAAAGGCAAAATACGATGTACCGTATGGAGAAACCATCGGACAGAACCACTCGCTGGCCCACGACAGACCGCAGGTGGTGTATTATGTGACCCCACATGGGTCATCCCCCGTGCAACCCGGAGCCCCACTGCTCTACTTCGGCAGTAACGGAGGCTCGGGTCAGTATACGGCTCAGCCACTCGCTGGCCAGAACGGGAACTCCGGCGGAAGACGTAACAACGGAAACGGCCGGACAAATCGCGACCAAGCAGGAGGCGCCGGACAGAGCGGTCAAAGCCTCGCTGGACCCAACCAGAGTCAGCGGAACCAGGACGCATATATAAACAGACAGGAAGGTCTGTTTCGGCAGTGGACTTTCCAGAACGGAATAACCTGCGGCCACTGCATGTGGGGAAACCACCACAGCAATGCCTGCGCATACGCCAACGTTGACCCGGCCTGTAACCCAAACCGGAACTGGTACATGGACTGGCGTCAGAGATACGACGCCCGCGGCCCACTTGGCGCGGCAAATCCGAACCGCGCGGCCTTGGTCCCACCGCGCCCACATGGCGCTGGTCGACCCAGTGGCAGAGCCAACCGGAACTGGCAGCCTGGCACCGGAAACGGAGCCAACGGTGGAAACCTACCGGATGGCGGCGGACACAACTATGGATCGGATGAACAACAGAATTTCACCGGTCAGATGCAGCAGCCCACCGCTCTGCAGCCCTCATATTATGGACCGACTGTCTTTCCTTCCAATAACGGCGGCGGAATGACCTTGGTCTATCCGACGGAAAACGACTATGGTCAGTGAGCACCGGTGGCTCAACTGACCTCCTACCACCCACCAAAGCACCGGACAAAGACAACCCTGTGTATCGCAACAAAAGCGTCACAGGGAGAGCGAGAGAAACCGCTACGAAATCCACAAAAGGCGCAAACAGAAGCGCCGGTAAATCATCATCCCACAGAAGGACGTCAATTGGACCACGCGGTTCCCACAAAGGAACCGTGTTAACCGTCAATGCCGCAAAGCCAACCGCAGCTGGATTCACTAGAAGCGCCAACAGACGTGCCGGTGAATCATCATACGGCCAGACGACCATGGTCGAATCACACGGAGCCCACAAAG